ATAGATAGATAGAGAGATAGATAGATAGATAGTTCTTTTATCCGGTCATTTATATTAAACCTTCGTCTTCTCTCAACTAGATAGATAGATAGATAAATAAATAGATAGATAGAGAGATAGATAGATAGATAGTTCTTTTATCCGGTCATTTATATTAAACCTTCGTCTTCTCTCAACTAGATAGATAGATAGATAAATAGATAGATAGATAGAGAGAGACATAAGCTTGTGAACAATCAGTAGTTGTCAATAAACAACTTCTCTTTGTTTACTTGCAAACTTGTAATTTTGAAAATATGCTTGTTAAAGATTAAAGCATTTTTATAAAAAGTCGTCTTCGTTGTATTGATATAATCGCCGAACATTGTATCTATAAATTAAAGATTCCCTTTAACGATTTAAAATAGCATCATTTAAACCTTTATCTGAAGAACGATGCTGAAGAATTCGCCATTTTCGACGGATTTTAAATGAGAGATGAAAATATGACTAAAATTATTCCGATTCAAACAGAATGGATTTTGTTGAAGCTAGTTTTACACGATGCTAGACCATATTTTTAGATTTAGAAATAATAATATTTTATTCATCAATGTTTTAGAGATAATTGTTCACTGTTTTCTGCTTCTCATTGTATAAATATATATATATCACTCTATCCCCGTAGTAAATTTGTATTCGAACAGGACCTGCCTAGTTTGTACCGGCCTGCCAGATAACAGCGTATACTGACCCGATCCTATGGTACAGTACGTCGCCCGAACCAGACTAACATACGACAGGGGTCAATTTTCTTGGCATAGTGCCGTGAGAGGGCCAACTATGACAACTCCCATGGCGCGTTAAGACTTTTTACAGTACCCGGCCTAATCCTAGGCCTATTTGACCGACCCCACTGGCTTAGTTCACCGTGATATATGAATCTCTAATAAAACTTACTCATATTGTGATTATCTTTCTTAATGCGATCTCTCTGAAGTGCTCGAAGGTCGTCTTCTCCCAGAGGTTCGTCCTTGACAAGCAGACGATCAAGTCCGTCCTCTCCCTCACCCTGGAGCTGGAAAAGAGAAGCATCAACTCCTTCTCCGGGTTGACTCAGGATATCATCAAGGAAATCATCATTTACCTGGAAATAAGGAAATCATCATTTACCTGTAAATATGGAAATCATCATTTATCTGGAAATAAGGAAATCATCATTTACCTGGAAATAAGGAAATCATCATTTACCTGGAAATAAGGAAATCATCATTTAAATATGGAAATCATCATTTATCTGGAAATAAGGAAATCATCATTTACCTGGAAATAAGGAAATCATCATTTACCTGGAAATAAGGAAATCATCATTTACCTGGAAATAAGGAAATCATCATTTACCTGGAAATAAGGAAATAAGGACCTTTAAGACGACATCATAGAAATCTTATCTCCAAATTAATTTTAATCAAATTTAATCTTGCAATAAATATAAGTCAACCAAATAAATAATTGAGAAACTATTGCTCAGGCTTTGATTGAACATGAAAATATCCTATAGCCTCAATATATATATTCATCATATATGTTTGTCTAAAGCAAAATTACATTAAACAATATAAAATTTTACAATTTAATACTAATACTGGGTCTGCATAATTTATGCAGTTTCTTTAGATTTGCTTTATTTGATAGTGAGATATATCCTCTTGAGCCGATTTCAAAAGGGTGAACAGACACATCCCTAGTTGTTATATCTATTATATTTGAGTGTTTGCATTTTTGATATTTGTCTCAATGGGACAGTAAGCTCAAAAATGTCCATTTTTTCCTCCATTCTATCGATAATTATTAGATCAGAGATGAGATTTTAACAACTTAAACCCGAGTAAAACCCAAACTAGGGCTTAGATAGAACCCAAGTCAAGATTGGTTCTGATTCGAACAATGAGAGACTATTTAGCAAGCTTTCTCTCTGTAGCAGACAGAATCCCGTCAGATCAGCTGTGACAAGGAGATGTAAAATTCGAACTTTATCTAGATACAGGGTGTCCCACGAAACATGACAATAGGAAGACGACTTGAAAGTCGTCTTTGGTACTTGAATTTATTTGTGATATTTAGTCTTCTATCTACTTTAACATGTATGATTCTTGAAACAATTATCACATAATTCTCCTAGCCCTGGCGTTTCCAAAAAGTGGTCTGCGTTTTTTGTGCTTTCAATATTACCGGAGATATAAAGAGTTTGGTTCAGATTTCAAGTTTGTTAATTAAAAGCAAAATTGTCGAAATCTGAACGAAATTCTTCATATCTCGGGCAATATTGAAAGCACAAAAAAGGCAGACCACATTTTGGAAATGGCAGGACAAGGGAAATTTTGTAAATATTATCTCTAGAAATTTACTTCTAAAATTAGGTTGACAAATAAACGCAGCAAATTATATCAAAAATCAAGACGACATTCAAGTCGTCCTGCATACTGTCATGTTTCGTGGGACACCCTGTACATTATTTTCATAGTTTGTTTATTTTATATATTTAACAAAATTTGACACCACAAATAATTCCTGAGATTTTAAATGTACAAATATAAAAGATTTTACGAAATAATTCACAATCATCAGCTGCTGAAGACTCGAGCCTTAAAGAGAGAAATACCCATGATGGTTGGTTTTTAATAAACTCAAGGCCTTCCAAAAAGCCCGGGTCTTAACTTGAGCTTTACTTGGATCTAAGCAGACGCAAAAAACGGGTTTTACTCGGGTTTAAGCTTTTAAATCTCATCTCTGGTTTATGTGCGGTCACAAGGAGGTGGGGGGTAACAGAAGGGTATGGGACGGGATGTCGGCAATCGGCATACATCAAAATCAGTCAATATCAATTAATCCAGTTATATGTTTAATAAGATTGTTGTGCCTCCAAGTATATCTTTTTTGGTGTAGTGCAACCTTGCAGCCATTCAAAATATGGTTTGTAGTTGCAGAGCAAATTTTTTTCCCTGTCTGATTTAGATTTTTGTACAGCGTGGATATTGAAGGGATGTCTAGGCCATGCAGCATTTGTTGCACAAGGTGGTAATCCAGTTCATTTTTTCACAAAGGAACTGAGTTTTAGCCACAAATTCTGATTTTCAATTCGCTATTACTTTGCAACCTCACGGTTTTCACCTTTGATATTTCAAACTATTATTATTTGAACTAAAATGATTCATAGTTTGAAATATCTAAGGTCTCTGACATTGATATGCAAAGGTATAGGGATAAGAAAATCAGAGTTTGTGACAAAAACTCAACTCCTTTATCAGTGAATGTATCTAGTTTCTTCAGATGAAATGGTGATATTGTATGAACAGTGAGCAGAAATCGAATAGAAGGAATGAAATAATGTTTGTAGATCCAGACTTTATATTCATCCCGAATAAGAAGTGCATTTATATTAATGAGATTTGTTTCAAATTCACTCTTGGTGTAATCAAACGCATCACCAAATTTACCAGTTGAAATAGAAGTTTGCCAAGAAATTTCTGCTCTTCTTGAAATATATTTGGAATTTCAGTTTCACCAATAGTAAAGTTTATTCTGCTAGGTACACTTGATCTGATGGAAAATGATCTACATTTTTCTGGTTTTAATCTCATTTCCATACTTTCAATCTTGGATTTTATTTCATTTTAATGTTTTCTCAGATCTGTTGTTATCAGGCAAAAATCGTCAGCATAGGGCAGAGTAATAATTTTCTCTTCATTCAGATTAAATCCACAATCATTCTTACTCTGTAGAAATTCAATAATTGGATTGAAAACCATTAGAAATATAATGGGACTAACCGGAGATGGAATTTAAAGAATTTAAGCCGCGGTTTAAATCCGCCAAAACCCGCTTTAAACTAAGCGCCGGCTTAAATCTTGAAACATTTGATACAATTTTAAGTGGAACCAACCATATTTAAACCGCGGCTTAAATTTAAACAGCCGCTCAAATTCTTTAAATTCGGCCACGGGTCACCTTGGAATACTCCTCTTTTATAGAGGAATCCATCATATTACAATCAATTTATAATCTTAACATATTTGCAATCTGATGTTGTGTAGACCTTTAATATTTTAAGCAACAAAATCTGATAGATTTAAATAAGCAAAGTTTAAAACATCAAAAGTTTACGCCCTGCACAATTATGGAGATTGGATTAGAGTTTAAACAAAGTGTTCTGTTCATTATATGGATGTCAACTGCATTTGTACACATTACCGTATATATCTCACTCTGTTTGTTTGTTTGTATGTCTGATCATAACTTAAGAACCCCTTGACCGGTTTGATTAAATCGGTAGAACCATGGAAATTTTTCGCTTGGTTTAAAAGTTTATGAGAAGCTTAACTTTTATAGAGAACTTAATTTCTGGTTAAAGCTGGGATATGATAAATCACATGTATTCCTTTACTAAACCTTACAGTCGATCCAATTGAAACAAAAAAGCATTTTTGTCAGTTGATTTTTTAACTTGAATACACACTGAGCTCACCAACAAACCACCCAGCGACATGTGATCCAGTCGGCTAGTCTTGATCCATCTGCCATTTGATCCAGGCGACATCTGATCATTTGATTAATTACGATCAAACCTCTTTTACCTCTTTGTCGTGAACTCATGATCTAGTAATGGCTGGATAACTTGTCGCAGGATCACTTGTCGCTGGAATACGTGTCGCTGGATCACATGTCGTGGCCCGACACACTGAACGATCGTTAACGATAGTATATAAAACTAACCTCTGACAGAGTATATAAAGGACTAGTAGCATATAAAACTAACCTCTGATGGAGTATATGAAGGACTAGTAGCATATAAAACTAACCTCTGACTGAGTATATCAAGGACTAGAAGTATATCAAACTAACCTCTGACAGAGTATATAAAGGACTAGTAGTATATAAAACTAACCTCTGATGGAGTATATGAAGAACTAGTTGTATATAAAACTAACCTCTGACGGAGTATATGAAGGACTAGTTGTATATAAAACTAACCTCTGACAAAGTATATGAAGGACTAGTAGTTTATTAAACTAACCTCTGACGGAGCATATTCCGAAGGACTAGTAGTAGCACTGCTACAGCTAGGTGAGAATGGTCCTCCACTAGGGCGCCGAGCACCATTACTTGCTCTGCTACAAGGAGAGTAGGTTGTAGCACTAGGTCTTCGTTTAGGGGAGTAAGGGCCTGTGCTGGGTCGTCTGTGTGGGGTTGGAGCACTTCTAGAGGATATATGGTGCGGGGAGAGATGAATTACTCCGGGTACTCCATGAGAACCAGGGGTTTGGTTTGGAGAAGGATTAAGAGAGTTCCCTGGAGTACTAGAAAGATACTCCGCAACCTGAATACAATTGCATTTAATCTACATTGATTAGTATTTGTGGATGAATGGCTTTATAGTTTCTACCCTAAGAAAAAAAGATAAAACTTATCTTTTTCGAAACCTACAAAAAAAATTGAAAATTGTCTCACAGTCAAAAGAAAATCAAAAACTTCCCCCTCCAGTTACCCCCTGCATCAAATATTCATGATATAATATGTTTCGGGATTTCCCCACGGGTTTTATTTTTTTGGAAGTTTTGTTTTTCTTTTAATGCTTCTTCTTAACGAAACAAACCAGCAATATTTTCCTGTTTTTAACAGAAAGTTAGATCTTCTTCTGTATTTCTTTTAGCCGCCAGAAAATAAAAGAAGATTGAAAGTTTGCAGAAAATTGTATTTAGCATTTTTAGTATTTTGACTCCAGATACAGATGCATTTTACAGATTGCTTCATTTTATGAACAAGAAATAAATCGAAAATTTGGAATTTCAGTAATTTCATATTTTCAATGATTTTAAAATGTCAATGCAATTCTTAAACAAGAAAAAAAACTATAAAACGTACTAACTCGTAGTCTTATACAGCTCCTATAGGTTTGATTTTATCCGATAACATATTAGAATTTCAAAACATTAGTGTTATTCTCAATATCTCTTTAATAAAAAGGTTTATGCATTTGAAAACATATAAAAGTTTCATTTTAACATGAAAATTACTTTAGTTTGACGTATAAGTTTGGTTTAAGTATAGATGAGATGGAATTCCAAAGTTTTGACATTTTAGCGACAAGGATTAGCATTGGCAGTTCTGTAATACTTTAGCACTTTAGTATTTTTGGATTACAGGGAGGCCCAGAGAACATGATCGAGATAGACCCTACTATAGTATTTTTGGATTACAGGGAGTCCCAGAGAACATGAGACCCTAGAGAACGTAAAGGCCAAACTAGAATTGGATCTGAAATCGATCCCTATAAATCTTAATTCGTTCACCCGTGTGTCTATATAATTAACATTAAAAACATTTTTTACTGAAAATGCAGTAAAACCTACATTTACAGTTTTAAACCTTTTAGCTTTAAATAATTCAATTACAGTTTTTAACTGATCCTTTACTTTTTAAACAAACAAATGTTAAATTAAATTCTCTTATTATTGTTATAATAACAGTTTAGCAGTAATCGTATAATTCTAGAGTAGATTTTCAATTTTCATCTTTTTTATTTTTTCTTCTGCGTGGTATCAAATTGAGAATTTTATTCATAAAGCTAAACAAAAGAACTGAAAATGCGCAATTTCAAGTGGCCCTCCATGCGCAGATGGCAATGACCGATTCACAACGAACCCTTTGAAGCTTTGTCTGATCAAATATGAATTAGATGAATCAGATGTTTATAAATTTGAAAACTGATTATTTTCGATTGTGGTTTCAAAAGTGACTTGTTCATTTCTACAGCAAGAAAAGCAATTACAAATATGTCATGAACTAGAAAAGTGACAGTATCTTTCACATTATTTATCAGATAAAGGTTTCAAGGGTACCGTTGTGAATCGGGCATTGCATTTTCACCTTTGCTTGAAGGGTGACTTGAAATCTCGCTTAAAGTCCCGCTAACTACTTTTTAATGATGAGAATAAACAATAAATAATAAACAGTTTCAGAAAAGTAAGTTTTAAAAATTGCTTTCGTCTTTTGTCTGAGAGAGCAGACAAGGTCGTGTCAGAGTAAAATAGTTAGGCGTTTTTAGGTTGAGGGGGTGTATAATAATAATAATAATAATAATCATATTTACCCTAAAAACTTCTGTTGGTATTTCTTTACTAGCTGATCCTGAAGATGGAATCTGTAGAGGTTGACCTGCTCCGACCCCTAGCTGATCCACCCGTCTCTGCTGCTCCTGCTCACGTCGCTGCTGCTCGGCTCTCTCTCTCTCCATGCACTGCTCCCTGGAGAGGAGCTGCTTCATGTTGGTTCTACTCGTAGCAGTGCTCTGTTTGAAGGTCGGAGGCCTGAACAATAAACCTTTTATATTTATCAAGAGATGAAATATCTCGCTCTGAAGAATAACTGGGTTCTATTTTGCTACCGTGTTACCCTCGAAGGGTGAACATGTTGCTTTCTTTGCCAAATAATTAAGTACGCGTGTGAACTACATTAAATACAAAGTCATAAAAGTCTCATCCTTTGTGGGTAACCTTGTAGCTTAAAGGGAGTGAACAGCTATGTTAGGTAGTTGAACTGAGTATTCAGTGTTGTAGAAAACTTCTTTCGGATTCATTTGAGACAAGTTAAAATTTTTAAAGATCTGAAAATCCCAAGTTTGAGCGCAAATTCGACGTTCAAAACTCCTACTTCAGGGGTGCAGATACGTTTCCAGAATTAGTTTCTTTTAAATTATTAAATAACGACAACGAAAAATCTAATTAGATGGTTAGGAACATATTTCATAAAAGAAATTTGTCAATAAATCAATGCTAGAATCGATTATTTCGTTTTCATTGTTATATTGAATTTCTTATTTTCTTTGAATTTATTCGCAGACTTCTTTTAATTCTTCAAATGTCGTCATCTCAATAATAATTCTAGAAAATCTGCAGAAAATCTTTGTGAATAATGAGAAACCAGAATAATGAAAAAATATAAACTAATAATTGAAAAAGATTACTTACTTTCGATAATAAGATTAATTTTTATTTTTTCAACATGTTCCTATACATGACGTCTGTAGTTTATTGTTGAACTTTTTTACATTTTATGTCGTCGTTATTTAATAATTAAAAAATAATAATTCTGANACTCAGGATTTACAGATCTTTAAAAAGTTTAATATATCTCAAATGAATCCTAAAGAAGTTTTCCACAACACTGCATACTCAGTTCAACTACCTTACATAGCCGTTCACTCCCTTTAATAAGTCAAAAAATTAAAATTTTAAATGTTTTTACGATCAAATTGCAAAGATAAAAAGATAATAAAATATTAGTTTTTGACAAGTTCTCAGTTTCTTTCGTCAGTTTTCATGATTCATCCTTTACGCGTAAATCTTTTCAGAAATACTGTAATCGTAATTTCAAGTCACCCTCTATACAAAGATGGCAATGCCCGAAATACAATGGGACCCTTGAAACCCTATTTTGATCAAAATTGTGGAAGATAAAGTCGTTTTTCTGACTCGAAACGTGTTTAATTCTGTGAATCTACCCATTGTTTCTTATCAGCAAGAATTGCACAAAAGTCACCTTTGCAGAGAAATCACAAATGAAAATAAGTTGAAATAAAGAAAATAATTGATATCTATAAATGTAAACTTGATCAGCTGAAGCTGTTGTAAATTGGGCAATCTTCGCATAGAGGGACACTGAACTTAACTTACAGTCCCTTGAAAGGCTTTAAAATGAAACCATATTTGTAAAATCAAATTAATTTGATCAAAATTAAATCGTCTTTTGAAAGATTAATTATATTCCCATTTATTAGATTTAGAGATAATTGTATAAATTAAAATCTACAGATTTTCCGTTACTTTAGAGATAATTGTATAAATTAAAATCTGCAGATTATCATTTACTTTAGAGATAATTGTATAGATTAAATTCTACAGATTATCAGTTACTTTAGAGATGATTGTATGAATTAAAATCTACAGATTATCAGTTACATTTAACTTTTAAATCCATTTTTTCTTGCATCACTGAAATTTACAAGTGAGGCATTTTTTCTCTTCGAAAAAAATGTTAAAAAAATATTTGTTTGAAATCATGAATATTTATGTGGATACTTTTATCCTAAAAAATAAAAGATATTGTTTTTTATTGTTTTTGTAGAAATGGTACACTGTCAGTGTTAACTGTCTTCGAAAACAATTTCTTGCTTCGTTGAGTTAATAGAACAGTGCCCTTAAGGGAGCCTACAGGAATTTTTCTATGGGGGGGAAGGGGGGAAAGTAGAAAAATGTATTTTTGATTTATTGCTCGCAAATATAATGCGCAAACGAAAGCATACTTTGTTAATCGTTTTCTGAAAACGACCGAAAAAAATATGGTTTTCGTTTCGTTTTTGATTTTTAAAAACTAACAAACTGCGTGAACGAAAACGACTTATACATTTGTTAATGAAATTATGAATTAAAAAAAATACTACTTTTTTTATTTTCAAAGACTATCATCGATTCGTTTCTCGTTTTTTTTCACATTGTGAAAAAAGTGAAACAACCCATCTCTGCTTTTGGTTAAACTGGGTTTAACTGTTTTCCGGCAAAGGTTTCTACACCGTATTAGGAAAGTTTTCCGTTAGTTAATAGTTACTATAATATAAACATTAAACTAGTTTTTGATCGAATAAAACCATTATCAAAAAAAAATTTAACCATTGTTATATTTAACAATATAAACTATTTACTCTTTTTATTAATCTTATTTAAGAAATAATTTCATTTTTATTTGAATTTTGAATTTATTAGTTGGTCCGGTCTGACTAGTTGGTGAATAATTTTTAAAACTGTACAGAGCGGGGATTTTTTAATTGGGATATCCAATTAAGCCCGATCGGTTAATTAATCTGGATATTAAAGGGAGTGTTTGCGAAAAATGAAAGGAGGTATAAACTTACGGCGAAAAATAAGCGCTTTTGATCGCTACTAATCTTACTTCTATCTGTTGCGTCTATAAGGAGAAAATGGTTAAAAACGACTCATGCTGAATAACATCACGTCCATACAAATTTAGAAAGTAGCAACATTCAACTCGTAAAATAATCAATTAAATTTCAAACAAATCATTCAGATATTGCAAACAATAATCATCGATTATTTTTCGACGCATTCGAATATAGTTAATATATCATAATATTTTTGATTTTGTTTAAATAATATGTCGCTGGCACTGGATTTTAGAAATCTCCTGGAAAATATGAAAATTTAGTCTTTATAATCAAAAATCCTTGAAACAGGAATAAATGTTTTCCGAAGTAACTATCAGATCATAAAAAATAAAAAACGATGATATTATCCAGAATCTAATCTGTCATTGTTGATCTGTTGTTTTTACTAGTTTAAAATATAACCCACACTAGTTTAAAATAAAAAAGTCTTTAACCTAATTTATTTCCCTGTCAATTTTTTTAGAATGTAAATTTTCTTTGTGATTTATTGCTAGTTTTTGTAAAGATAGTTTATAATATTTATCTACATATGTAATAAAGCTCTTTGCTCACATATATGTATATTTGTATCTTGTATGGGTGATGTATGCATGTATGTTTATATGTTAGCTATAGCGGGCCAAACGGCTGGATCGAATTTTTTTTATAAAAAGGTAGTTTTTTTTCGAATTTTTTTCTTAAGGCTTTATAAAAAATTCCACGGGCAACACCTTGTGGTTATATTACCTGATTGGTAAATTATATTTCTGCTCAACTTTGTCAACAATATTTAGTGAAGATTCTGCCAGGAGGGGAAGAGAACGACAAGGGACTCGAAGTGGCTCCTCTCCAAGGGAATTGTTAATTTGTCTACCCCCCTCCTGGTAGGATAGTGCTCCTGATCTCAGGAGTACAGGAGCAGAGTTAATTAGGTTGTCTAGCTCAGGGTCTGTAGGAGATAAAGCAGGAGATACTAGACAGGTTCTGTTCAACAAATAGTCTACGGTGCAAAAAATAAGTATACTTGTGTCATTTCCCTTATGAGAAGAAGAAAAGGTTTATTGGGTTACTACATATAAAAAAATTTAAAACATTTTGGTCTTCTCAATTGCTCTTTATAAGAGGTGCAGTTATTATTGAAAACATCTTAATTTTCGATCTTCTGTGTAATTTACTTAAGTTTAATGTCAGACATCAATGGTATAACAACAAACACTTATCTGATACAAGTTCAACTGGCTTAAATTATTAGATGTACAATACGGAAAAAAAACCTGTAAGGTGTATGAAAGGCTTCTAACAGGAGGTTACTAGTATAGCTGTTGATTGGGCACAACCGGCTTGAAAAAACTACAAAAAAAAAGCTTATATTGTGTATGTATGGTCGGTAAGGATGTGACCGGCATTAAATAAGTGCCTGTACGTTCTGATTAAGCTGCTACCTGGATGCTTTTCTGTGTACTTTTAAAATCCTGATGTCAATTGTTAAAAAATGACCAGATTTAATAAAATTAGAATTCGAAAAATGTACTCTGACTTAAAATATTTGAACCACTTGAACCATCTAATTTAAACCAGTCCCCAACTATTAATTGTATTTCTAAAAAAGGGAAAATTTCCGGTTTTAATTGCACCTTCCTCATTTGTTGAACGACACCTTTAAAGGACGGAGGCACGTGAAAATGGTATGGAGGAGGGGGCGGGAGCCCCTTCTGGAGGTTGTCCACAACTTCTTGAAATTCTGCCATTTGCAGGACCGTGTTGGAATCCATTACGACTCCGCTATCCCAGGATTGATGGATCATATCCTGATATGCTTCCATTCCATCCATTTGATCCTCCACTTTGATTTCATCTAGGAGGGAGTTAAAGCTTGGAATACGGATATCCATTTTATAGGATTAGGCCACTAATCCTTCATCAATGCAGTAACAGTTATTTCACATAGTTTAACAAACTCACACTTTTCACTTTTTATGATATGTTAAAAATAAATGTCAGCGATTAAATATTTATTTTGTTTGCGGGCTTTCTAGAAAAAAACCGTGGATTTATTACATAGCTGAAATTCCTTCTTATCAAGAAGATTAACTTTAAGAACGGGTAAAATGTGAATCACAGTTGGCATTCTTTACTGAAAGATTATTTGTGATTGGTTTGAGATTTTATCCCTTTTCTCTGATGTTGTGTATATTTTAAGGTGAAAAGCTAGACTATACTGAAAGCGGTCAGTTTGGCCCAACTCTCAACTACGTCACGCTAGTTCCAGTCAAGGGTAAATCTTTCAAAAATTTGATAAAAAATTTTATTTTCAGGAATTTGAATAAATATAATTTTTTATTTCTGAGATTAATTTTGACAAAGACTTCTCTTTTTACTTACGTTTTTTAAATTCTGCTAAAGTATATGGCCGGGTATTTTTTACAAATTAAATAAAAGAATTAACCAGAATGGCTGTCTAGATTTTGAAGCAAATTTTATCTCGGAAACATTATTTAAAGAGTTTTTTATGATTTTTTAAACAAAGCAACAATTTTTTAATATTGACAGATTTATTGAAAGACTAAAAACTGATAAGGAATCATGGGAATCATGAGACTTCGCCACAAACTCCGATTTTTTAAATCCAATATCTTTGCAACCCGAATTTGTAGACCTCAAATATTTCAAACTATGAATTCTGTTCAGTCAAATATTTTAAGTTTGAAATATCTTATGTTTACATCATCAGGTTGCAAAGATATGGGTATTATAAAATTTGAGTTTGTGGCAAAGACTCAATTTATTTAATTATTGTAAGCAGATCTTTTTGATCAAATTTGTGAATTTACTAAAAATAAATTAAGAGATTATTCCAATTGTTTCCGCACAGCTCTCACATAAAAATCGATAAGAATTTCGCCAATTAGTTCTTAAAAACAAGTAGTTTTAAGTTCTAAAATGTATTATTAAATCAATAATTTGGTGAAATGGGGTAATTGCTCACACTGCCAAATCAATGTGTCTCATGCTCATTGAACTTTTTAAAGTTTTGACGTAATTCTAAAAGTCGTCTTTCTCTTTCAGAGTTTTCTGGTCATCACTGTAAAGTTTATAATTTTTGTATTTTATACCACAATCAAAAATGAAATGGCCTTGTCAGATTGATATAGTGGAAGGGGGGAGAATTAGAATCAACTTTATAGATTGATATAGTGGAGGGGGGGGGGGGCAGAATTAGAATCAACTTTGAAGTTTACATTCATCACTTGTTTAAGTTTTTTTTTCAAGGTTAAGTTGAGGCGACAGTTTAAACTGTCCCTAGAGATCACTTACTTTACTTTCTCTTTTACTTTTTTTTAAATTTAATATTATATCAATATGCTAACAGAGAACTTCTTATTTTAAATTTTGAATTTGGTTATCTATGAGATAAATGTTATGAGGTGGCATCAATATTAAATATTCAATAAAATGTTAGAATACTGATTGAAATTTTAATGTGCAGTCCTTTTGGTTTGAATGTCTGTCCGTTTGGATCCAATAAACGTCCAAACGGCTTTACCAATAGGGCCCAAATTATATGGAGCTCAAAATTACAAAAAAATTGTGTCCAAAAGTTTTTTTTTAAATTTGAAAATAAGCGCGCGAAATAATATTATTAAATCCGCGAACGTTTTTTTGTTATTGTTTTATATTTTACAGCGCGAAGATGCTCTCACAGATTAAAAGTTGAATATAGAAGATGGGCGCGAAGAACTCTAAAAGCCCAGTAATATAACTTTTAATATTGAATAGATATGTAATGCCTTGCATGACTGTAAGTTTGATTGAACCCTCAAACGTTGAAACGACTGACAATGATGGAAAATCTCCTTCATTTTTGATATTGTGTTTTTCTTTTATTTATGATGCATGCAGCTTGTAGGATAAAATAATAATAATCATAATATTGAGAAAAATAGATTCCTTAGACGTTTATTGAAAACAAACAAACAAATTGTGGACAGCACAACAGTACAAAAAAAGATATAGATGGGAGTGTAGATTTGACACGACATTTTAAGTGTTAAGTTATTTAACAAAAGTAAATTGAAAGTAACAAGACGAGAAAATTAACTAATTAATTTTCTGACACTTTATACATATAGTGCTTTAAGAGAGAGGTGAAATTAAGGGAGATTAGAAATCTTGGAGAATTTTTTAAAAAGTCTGTAAGGGTTAAACTTTTTTATTTTAAATCCAATAAACAAATATTTCCCGTCGTAACGAATTTGTAGAAGGAAGTTACGTAGATTTTTTGGCCCCAGTTACGAAGTTTTTTAAGCCTCCGTTTCTTGAGGACAGCTTTCCTGGGGTTGCGTAATCTTGGGAACTTTCAAGGCAAGCAAATATTTCTATCTTTCTATCTTTCTATCTTTTTTATCTTTCTATCTTTCTATCTTTCTATCTTTCTATCTTTCTATATTTCTATCTTTCTATCTTTTTATCTTTCTATCTTTCTATCTTTCTATCTTTCAATCTTTCTATCTTTCTATCTTTCTATCTTTCAATATTTCTATCTTTCTTTCTTTCTATCTTTCTATCTATTTGTCTTTTTATCTATCTTTCTTTTAGTCTTTAAAATTTCACAAATTCTGTCATTACATCTTTCAATCTTTCGATATTTTCAATCTTTTTAGCTTAACTTTCTAATTCCATATTTCGATCTTTCAATGTCCATATAAAAATTTGGCTTGTTTGTCTGTCTGTTTATATCCAATAAACGTCAAAATGGCTGAACTGATCGTGCCACATTTTTTTGGGACAACTCCCACGATCCTAGGAAAGGTTTATAGACGAATAAATTTCCTTTAAAAAATATCAATTACAGTTTTTAATTTTAGAAATCTATCAATATTTACATAAAAATATGCAAAATTTTGAATTTAACAAGAGGGGCAAGGGCCCTGAAAGCCTAGTATATAATATATATATATAACGTTTGTCAAATGGTTTGTCTGTGTTAGTTTTAGATACTCAGCCCACGGTGAACAATACGTTTAACTTAGGGTTTCCAGCGAAAAGGGGAAATCATTTCGCATTTGCAATATGTTCGCTCGCGAAATTTTTTGCACTTTTCACGAAAGTTTTCGTTCACTGGAAACCCTATACTTTAACTTTTTACAAAATTTACCTTTCATTGTTTAAAGATGAGTTATACTTTAAACTCAAGAAGACTGGATCCCTAAAAAAATCATTTATTTATTCAATTAATCAAATTATTTTTGATTTGTAAGTTTAAGTTTGATAGGAATAATTTTTTAAGGAATTTGATGAACTCATTAAAAAGGCCATTGTATAATTGTCACGGTCTCATCAATTAATTTAAGATTTAATTTCATTATATATTTGTATAAGGATTTTCCCATATACTCATATAAAAAATAAGCAAAAAATTAACCTTTTTTAATACTGCTTGTACACTGTACATGGTTGCAAAGTACATTAAATTTATGAAAACATATCATAACTGGTTTTCTGCTTAATTTCAAGTGATCCATCAATCAAAGAGTTACTTATGTCATTCACAATGGGCCTTTAACACTTTTTAAATACAGGTTTACTCTCAAAGGATGAGATTTAATAGTGTACTGAACGTAATTTACACTGTTTGTTTCTCTGAAGTACCTGAATTCACATTATTTTTCTGGCTTTTGATACTTTTTTTACTTTTTTACCCTATACATTACATTAGTTAGTACAAGTGTTCTTTTAGATTTAGTTCTTGAAGGGGGTGAGGGTTTTTAGGTAGTTGGCAGTGGCACTACAGTTGAAATTTTACTTAAATTGTGTCATCAAAGGAAAAATGTACGTTCTTATTTTGACAAATATATTCGTATTAGTATTTAATCATACTTATTTGTGTTAAGTGTTTTTAACGCTATTTCAAGGTTCTTTATTAACAGTTCTTGGTCGTCTTTTATCTTACAAATTAATCTATATTCTCTTCTTTAAACCCGGATTCGAGTAGACACACATAATACCTAGTCTTTTATAGGGACTCAAGAAAAGGATAGATAGATATTTTGGATTACAAAAAAGTCTAATGTCTGGTTTTAGTCTTAATCTGTTTTAATACAGGGGGTCCCAAAACTCAAGACTAAAATGTTTAAAGGGACACACCGGCTATGTAATGATAGTTAAACTGAGTATGCAGTGTTGTGGAAAAATTCTTTAGGATTCGTTAAAACATGTAAACTGTGCATTTTTAAATTTGTTGACTATTTGTCATCGAACGAATTTATAAAATGTAGTATTCTTACTTACTGATAATGGAATGCTGCAGATATTTAGTTTTTTAATTGAATAATTATATGGAGCTCTTTGAAACTGGTCCCGCATTTATTTATTTATTTATTTTTATCTTTACAATTACTTAGATTTAGGTATAATAGTATAAAACCCATTGAAAAATTGTCAAGACGACATATTATAAATTCTTTAGATGCCCCTGAAGTACTGGGGGGTTAACTTATTGTATACCTGAATCTCAATAATTGTAAGCTTTTTGACTTTTTACATCACTCATTTGACTTTCAAACTTATTAAGCATGCAAATATCAAACTTATTAAGCATGCAAATATCAAACTTATTAAGCATGACAATATCAAACCTTTTAAGCATGCAAATATCAAAATTATTAAGCATGCAAATATCAAACTTATTAAGTATGCAAATATCAAACTTATTAAGCATTAAAATATCAAACTTATTAAGCAAGCAAATATCAAACTTATTACGTATGCAAATATCAAACTTATTAAGTATGCAAATATCAAACTTATTAAGTATGCAAATATCAAACTTATTAAGTATGAAAATATCAAACTTATTAAGCATGAAAACATCAAAACTTATTAAGCAAGCAAATATCAAACTTATTAAGTATGCAAATATCAAACTTATTAAGCATGAAAATATCAAACTTATTAAGCATGAAAATATCAAACTTATTAAGCATGAAAATATCAAGCTTATTAAGCGTGAAAAATATCAAACTTATTAAGTATGAAAATATCAAACAATTATTAAGTATGCAAATATCAAACTTATTAAGCATGCAAATATTAAACATTTTGACCATAAAGTTCTTTAAATTATCAATGTCATTACTAAATCATTTAAGCATATTGTATATTTAATCTGCTTAAATTTAGAATTTGATATTTACTTTAAAAATATATTAAATGTAAACTGTATCCAATAAATGTTTCCGTTTCTGTAGCATAAAATTATTTATTATAAAAAAATAAATAAATTAATTGTTTTT